AAAAGGAAGTTCATTTTGCCTCTTCTGGCATCAGGAAACTACACCAGGAATGTGGGCCACCATCCCCATGGCTGCCTCATAGCTGAGGGTGTAGGGTTGGGAGTGAGTAGGTGGCTAAGGAATAGTGGCACCATGCTCTCTTACTAAAATCTAGAGTTCCTTTTTCATTAAGCACTACTTCGGTTGTTGTAAAAAAAAAAAAAAAAATTTATAGGCTCCAGAGTACAGAAAAACTTAATTTTGTTATTTTTTTCCAGATTAACAGTTGCTTTAGTGGGGGAGTGTGTTTTTGGAGTTCTCTACCATTTTTGGTGAAGGCATTACAATTGTCTTTTAATAAGATTTAAAAATTATGAAAAAGTCTTACATGCTTACCATTTCTGGTGCTCTTCATTACATATTTGCATTTGGTATCATTTTCTTTTTGCCTGAAGGACTGAACTACTTATTACAGTTCATGTCTCCTGGTTATGTATTTTTTCACTCCCTATAAGTCTAAAATCCCCGTATTTTTTGATAGATATCTTTAGAGTCCGTTAAGTAGCTTGATGTAATCATTACACATGGTATATATATATCAGTATATCACACAGTACCTCATGAATGTATTATTATTTGTCAATTAAAATTATACATATATACATATATGTTTTTAAAAGTTTTTTTTTTCTGGAAATAGAATCTAGTTTGACAGCATTTTCCTTTCAGAACTTTAGAGATGTTGGTTGTCTGTCTCCTCATTTGCATTGTTTCCAATGAAATAACTACGGTCATCTTTATTACTATTCTTACGTTTTGTGTTTTTTGTTTTTTGTGTTTGTTTTCTGCTTTTTCAATTTTCTCTCCTTCTCTGGTTTTGAACAAATACATGTTACTATCACTCACAACCATAAAGTGAACTTGGGAAACAATCTGTAGGGAGAGTTTGTTGATGATTGGTTTTTCATGAAAATTTTCAGAATAAATTTTCAGAAACAATTGTTTATTCCTTGTTTTACAAAGGCGAATTTCCTTAGAATATTATTGTATTGAAGAATGTCACAAATAATTTTGTCACCTGGACCTGGTGCCCAGATAGGTGGTCAAGCATTATTCTGGATGATTTTTTTAGGATGTTTCTTGGATATGATTAACATATAAATTGCTATACTTTGAGTAAAGTAGATTGACCTCTATAATGTGGACAGGCTTCATTCAGTTCATTGAAGGTGTAAATTGAACGAAATACTGATCTTCCCCAAGCAAGATGGAATTCTGTCCTGGGATTTGAACTGCAGTATCAGTCACCTGACCCATAAAGAGCTGGTTGGTTTGTGTATAGCATTTGTAAGATGAATGGACAACACCCCGTTTGGAAGTCCACCCCTTTGATCAAAGAAGATAAAAACAGAACAGCTCTTGTGGACTGAATTGCAGGGTGTTTTCTTAGCAGTGATGGAAGAATTGAACAATGATAAAAGCTACCATGTTTTAGTTTTTACTGACTTATGGGCAGTGACTGATGGACTGGCCATATAATTAATTAAGAAAGCAACGGAAAACTGGCCTATGAAAAGAATGCCCATATGAGACACAGTCCTATGGAAATCACTATGGTAATTTGAGGGGTGCATTAACATAAGACATGTTGATGCCTGATATAGATTGGATGTTGTCCCCATCCAAATCTCATGTCAAGATGTAATTCCCCATGTTGGAGTTGGGGTCTGGCAGGAGGTGACTCGATCATAGGGTGGTTTCTCATGAATGGTTTAGTATCATCCCCTCAGTGCTATTCAATACCCATCAGAATAACTCCCCTCCAGGTTTGGAAGGTGATTGAAATCAACAAGCATTTATCTCTAAGTGCTTGCCAGGTGCACCTGTAATTCCAGCTATGAGAGTGTCTGAGGCAGAAGGATATCTTGAGTACAGGCATTTGAGTTCAGCCTGAGAAATATTTGAGTCTAGCCTGGGAAACATATCAAGACCACATCTCAAAAAAATTTACGTTTGCTTGTGAAGATCACTGGGGTCTATGAAATAAGTAGACACTGGGGCTGCAGCCATCCAGAGATAGGCTGAATCAAGACATATTCCTCTTGCATCCCCGACCTCACAGGCACATAACACTCATAAGAACTGTTCTTTTTAACAAGACTGGGTGCAGTGGCTCACACCTGTAATCCCAGCACTTTGGGAGGCCAAGGCGGATGGATCACTTGAGGTCAGGAGTTTGAGACCAGCCTGGCCAACACGGCGAAACCCTGTCTCAACTAAAACTACAGCAATTAGCCAGGCATAGTGGTGTGTGCCTGTAATTCCAGCTACTCAGAAAACTGAGGCAGGGGAAAAGCTTGAACCTGGGAGGTAGAGGCTGCAGTGAGCCAAGATGGCGCCCCTATTCTCCACCCTGGGTGACAGAACAAGACTCTGTCTCAAAAGAAGAAAAAAAAAAGTATTCTCTTTAACAAGAAAAGAGACAGAGACAAACAGAGACAAGAAAAAAACATGAATGGCAGGTATTGCCACCATGTGGACCACTGAGCCACATTACACCAGGAAACACATTTGCCCACAATGTTCAACAATGGTCAAAGAAATTTCTTCCTCAGAAGAAGAGTTTCAGAGAGAATTAAAATAGTCAATTGAAACACTGAGTGTATAAATCAGGAGTAGGGAGACATAAGCATGAAGGGCGGGCTTACACACCTTCATGAGTGTGCTCACACTTGATATGAGTGTGGACAAAGGAGTGTCCCCACTAGAGAGTGTCCTCTTTTTCCCTGCTGGATCGGGGAAAGGTGCTGGTGTGACTCTACATACAATCCTTCCCAAGGCCGGAAGACACTAGATTGATGACTATACTTTACCTCAACTTGCTTTTCTCATACCCGACGCGGTGGTCTCAGGACTAGGGATGCAAATAAAAGTCCAGAAACAGGAATTATTCCTAAGCAAGAATTTGTTAACATCTTTAAAAACCATTATGCAAGACTTCCTAAGGGCCTGGAGAAGTAGACATGCCTTCACTGCATCTGGCAAAGTTGGAGCTAACATTGAATGAAACTGTATTGCCTGGAAGCCAGATAGCCAACCAGTTCTCTGCCTGCATAACCCTAACCTCTGTGAACTGAAATGGACTGATGGAAGACACTCACTGTTAATAGCACGTATAGCTCCCTGCAGGTGAGGCCAGCACAGCAGGAGAATCTAATGTCCCTTCCAAAACGAGAAATATTTGGTATAAATGCAGAAGAGGAAGAATAGTAGCTGAGGTGAAATGAATGAATAAAAGGGGTATGTAATGAGGAAAATCCAATATAACATGAACTCCTCAAAAGAGGTATAAACGAATGATGAATTGTCTTTTATCTCATTTTTACCAGGTGTCTGCAAGGTTGCAGCCATATGTTGCTGAGACCATTGCTATTTTTGAACGGCAATGGGCTAATTGATAATGACTAAACAGGACTCTGGTAATGCACCAGTATATTTTTACTGTTATGATTCTTCTGCTATAGGAGATCTGTGGTTAGCCAAGCAAAGGGGCTCACATTTGTAATTTCCCCACTTTGAGAGGCCATGGTAGGAAGATTGCTTTTGAGGCCAAGAGTTTGAGAACGGCCTGGGGCACATAATGAGACTGCATTTCTACAAAATATTTAAAAACTAGTCAGGCATGGTGGTGTGCACCTGTAGTGCCAGCTACTCAGGAGACTGAGGCGGAAGGATCACTTGAGTCCAAGAATTTGAGGTTACAGTGAGCTATGATTGTGCCACTGCATTCTACCCTGGGCAACAGAGCAAGACGTTGTCTCTAAAATAAAATAATAAATAAATAAATAGAAATTATAAGAAGAGATAATGTGGTTAAAGGCAGGAAGTGATCTGTGGTCCAATAAATATATTTGATCTTTGCTCCTGTTCCCTGACAGGCAGGTCCTAAAACGCTTGCAGTCCCCTCAGTGATAAGCATGACTTTAATATGGCAATGAGATGACTATGGGGTGAGGGGCTCCTAGATAGCTTCAGGATGGGGGCTGCTTGCCAGAAACACCAGCTGTGATTAGAGGATTGGAACTTTCACTGCCATCCCCATCCTCTGGGAAAGAAAAGGGGGCTGGAAGTTGAGCTCAGTCATCAATGGCCAATGATTTAATCAATCTTGCCTACACAATGAAAATTCCATAGATACCTCTAGACAGTGGGTTTTGGAGAGCTTCCCAATTGGTGAGCACATCCACATGTCCACGTGCTGGGAGGATGGTGCACCCCATCTCCATAGAGACAGAGGCTTCTGTGCTTATCTCTTTCTATAAGGCAGATATCGCTGTTTCTAGGAGGGAACTAGAGTGGACTGTGGATTCTTTCTCTGAGTCAAATAAAAATGTAGAGTCAGAAAATTCAGACACTTTGTACTCCTCATGGGACACTCCAGCAGCACTCACGTGACCATCCTGAGAATGGACGGGACACCTGGGGTGGGGAAGGGAGCACAGAACCCAGACATCAGCCTGGACACAGGCACCTGGGATAATCTCCTATTCCTTGGAAAGTTCTAGTCTCTGAGGGGGGAACAGCGACTTCTGGTCCTGACCTGAGTGGAGGCCGAGGGACTCAGAAGAGCGGGAATCAGACCCCCCCACACACTGAGTGTGAGGAAGAGAACAAGGCCTGAGAGAAAAAGTCACAGTGCCCAAGGCTGCTGCAGGGGTCAAAGGGGACTGCTGATCAGTATTCCAGGGATTTGCTCCAGATTAATCTGAGTCATGGAAAAACTGCCTTTCTTTTGTTCCTAAACAAATACCTGCAAAGACAAAAGACTACATAAATAAATCCCCAGGTGCACAACTTTTTCAGATTTAAAGAAAAAATAACCCTTGTCTTTGCACCTCCATTCCCAGGATAAGCTCACTCTCTGGCATCAAGCTTCCTGGGTGAGTTCTCTTCTAGAAGAGTCCAAGGGGACAGGCAAGGAGTGGGAGGCAGGAAGTCCAGTTCAGGGAGGGGGATTCTGGGATGAAAAGTGACGGGAGACGGACTGAGCCCATGCCGAGGGTTTTTCCCTGGTTTCTCAGATAGCTCCGGGGCCAAGATTCGGGAAGACATCGAGACAGAGCCTTTGATATAAAAGAAGCGGGTAAGAGCCAAGTCCCAGGGCCCGGGGACTTGGCTTTCTGGGTTTCAGGCCCCGAGGGCGGTGTCTGGGGTGGGGCGGCTCAGCCTTGGGACCCAACTCCCCTTTCTCTCCCCTAACTTTCCCAACCTGTGTCAGGTCCTTTTTCCTGGATACTCATGACGCGGCCCCAGTTCTCACTTCCATTGGGTGTCGGGTTCCTAGATCAGCCAATCAGCGTCGCCGTGGTTCCTGGTTTTAAAGTCCTCGCCGGCCCACCGGGACTCATTCTCCCCAGACGCCAAACTTAAGGTTCATGGCGACCCGAACGCTCTTCCTGCTGCTCTCGGGGGTCCTGGCCCTGACCCAGATCTGCGCAGGTGAGTGCGGGGTTGGGAGGGAAACGGCCTCTGCGGGAAGGAGCGAGGGGCCCGACCGGCGGGGTAAATCTGCACATATATTTAATTACAGATTACAATTACAATCAAGGCAGAAATGATCTTATTTTTACATTTTTACACAAATAATTCTCCATCAAGAGATGGAGATACAAGAGATCAAGGCAGAGAGGGGACCTTGTGCTGTAGCTGTCACAAAAACAGCATTTGGCCTAAGGCTATGTTAATAAAGCTATTGCCTTTAGAATAGGGAGGTCCTCTAAAGTGATCATTCATTCAGCTGACCTTTGTTGTCTGACAGACGTAGGACAGAGTGGTTCTGCATCTGGGGAACATAAATGAAGTAAACTCAGAAAAATATTTGGCCTTGTGGAGCATGTGTTCCAGTGGAAAGAGGCAGACGATAGATACACTATAAGCAGATTAAGGAAAGAAAGTGCTGGAAGGTAGAAAAGTGTTGTGGGGAGGTGATCCCCCTCAGTTTTATGGCAGGGTTGGAATGTTTCTGGGGGAGGTGAGTTTCTCTTGGGGCAGACATCTTCCCGGCCAGCCGGAGGGGCGTTTTCTCGAAGCTAGCATGTCTCTGGTCCAGGAGGACTTTGGAATGTTTCTGGTTGAAGATGTTATTTGTGGCTTATGGTCGTGCTGACCTTAGCCGTTAGGCTGATGCCCTTTGGATTTAGGCGGTTTTTTATTAAGGTGAACTTTAGAATGAGGGGCTTATCAGAGATGGTGATGCTCCTGCTCTGTCACGGAGTGTGTTATTTCTTCACATAAAACACTCCAGTAGGCCAGGCGCAGTGGCTTACGCCTGTAATCCCAGCACTTTGGGAGGCCGAGGCGGGCGGATCACGAGGTCAGGAGATCGAGACCATCCTGGTGAACACGGTGAAACCCCGTCTCTACTAAAAATACAAAAAAAATTAGCCGGGCGTGGTCGTGGGCACCTGTAGTCCCAGCTACTCAGGAGGCGGAGGCAGCAGAATGGCGTGAACCCGGGAGGCGGAGCTTGCAGTGAGCCGAGATCGTGCCACTGCACTCCAGCCTGGGCGACAGAGCAAGACTCCGTCTCAAAAAAAAAAAAAAAAAAAAAAAAACTCCAGTGGCTCCATCTCAGTCTTGTGAAGCTTCTAGAATGTCAGGCACATGAGCATATGAGGGCACACTTGGTTCATCATAGGCACTAATTTAATTTGTGTTGATTGAATCAATGAAATATGAGTGTATTAAAATTTAACTGCATCACCAAAAATTATAAAAATTAAAAATTTTACCTGTAAAATTTTTACATTTTTATTTGTCCCAGAGACAGAATCCACAGTCCACCCTAGGTCCCTCCTAGAAACAACTGCCCCTGCTGCTGAGCACAGACGCCACTGCTCACACCTCTGACACCCTGGTGCTGGACACTGGGCCCTGAGACTAGGACAGATGTCACTGCTGCACCTGGAAACTGGACATCACCACTGTCACTCAGTCATCTTTACTAAAATGCATTCTGCACAGTCACAGCCTCGTCCTGGGTCGGGGTCCCGTAGGTGGTCGTCTGACTGGTGGAGCCTAAGCCTCATGTCCATGACCAACTGCCAGGGTGACTGGAGCACTGTTCTGTTCCAGGGAGGGAAGTGGTTTCTGTCTCCTCTCAAGACTTTAAGTGTCATAAAGCAAAAATAAACTTCAAAGACCCCCAACCCAACCCCAAACATCTTCTTAATGGACACTATCCTCACCCGCGGCACTCAAAATTTAACCTGAAAGACCAATTCAGGCCATGATGGCAAGGGGGCACTGAACATTCTTCATTATGGTCTCTTCCCTTTCAGAATTATTCTCTCTGAAGCCTGCCACCTGGAGGCATCATCGGCATGATAAACTTTGGTCCCCACAACCTCTTATCATAACCCAGACATTCCTTTCTATTGATAACAGCCAATTGCCAATCAGAACATTTTAAAATCTACCTAAAACCTAGAAGCTCCTCCTCCCCAACCCTGAATCAAGTTGTCCTGTTTTTCTGGACCAAACCAATGTATATCTTAAATGTATTTCATTGATGTCTCTTATCTTCCTAAAATGTATAAAGCCAACCTGTGCCCCAACCACGGTGAGCACATGTTCTCAGTGTCTCCTGAGGACTGTGTCATGGGCTGTGGTCACTCATATCTGGTTCAGAATAAATCTCTTCAAATATGTTACGAGTTTGACTCTTTTTATCAACAGTGTGGAATTCTGATGTAGTAAGAGGGTTCAAGTGCTGGAGTGTGAGGGGTGGGAAAAGAATGACAAATTTTAATTCTTGGAGCAGTGATCCAAGATGAGAACTTTATCTGGTACCTGGTAGACAGAGTGGCTGAATGTACCAGGGACTAGTAAATAACATCTTTCCACCCATTCCCTTGAGAGTATGATATTACGTGAAGCTTTTGCCTGTCCCCGTTCATACTCTAGATTATCGGAGTGGCATTGTGTGATGGTGAAATGATTATTCAAACATCTCCCCTCGGCATTGTCTCTTACTAGGACTGAAACACCCAAGTTTGTAAGATCTCATAAGATCTGGGTGCACACTGATGTTTTATATTAATATTTATATTTTCTTGTGTTTGGAAATATTTCTGGGTAGAGAATCTCTAACATTTATTAGTTTTTATGTAACTCCCTCAATATGTGCTTCTGAAGTTTTTTTTTAAGCAGCCCTATCGTGTTTTCCAGTCATTTGCTGTTCCCTCACTGGTTATTCCTATATAACCTTTTTCTGTTGGGTTTATTTTGACCAACCATGTGCATTTCCAATTCTGTAAAAGTTTAATTTAGGTGTATGTGTGGTGATATATAACACATCAAATCCTTTGCAAGATGAAATTGGCTTGCACATCAGATTGAACATTGTATACCAGAAAATCTAGAGAGATGCCAGTGAGCCAAGGATCAAATGACCTATTTCTAGCCAAGGCCATTTTCATGAAATCCTGGTCCTCTCTGTCACATGCCTCCTTACTATTGGCTATGGCTTTGTTCCAATTAAGAAGTCATAATCAAGTAACTAACTGGGCACCCAGCACTGGCATAAGACACAGAACCTGTGAGACCACCCTGGGCTGCTGCCCAATTCCATCCCCCAGAAAGAGCCTCCATCCTGAGTCTTGTGATTATTATTTCTTTGTATTTTTATAGAAATGTGTACAATAAGTCTATATATCCCCAAACAAAATATGAGTTAGTTTTGCCAGTTTGGGAACTCCCTGTACGGTAAACTCATACTGCATTTATGTTTCCAGGATGCACATTCTGTGCAGGAGTCCTCTTTGGTGTGGGCGGCTGTCATCCATTCATTTTTAGACTGCTGAAGCTTTACATTTTATTGTTATACGATCATTTTGCTGCTTTTCTATTCATGTATATGTGGTTGACTCCAGTTTTTGTCATAAACATTAGTGTGCATGTCTCCTGGACACATAGGCAAGAAGGTTCCGAGTACATAATCAGGAGTGGGATGGTTGGATGATATGTTGCATGGACTTTACCCATACTAGATAATGAAAATTTGATTTTCAAACTGATTGCACCAACTCAAACTTTTACAGTGAAACTTTTACATCAGTGGAAGAGCTGATGTTGATGATGTCTTCTGAAAACACTGGCTTAAAGGTGAGGAATTAAGAGTTAAAAGCCACTGTCTTGACTGCAGAATTACAATGGGTATTTTTTATTCAGACTCTGTTAATAACGTCCTGCTCTTTACTGGTATCCCATATACAGTAGCATTGTACTTATAACATAGATTCAGAAAATGCTTCCTTAGAGCATTACCACATAGGGTTATTTTACATCTTAGGAATGTTTCATAATAAAAAGGAAATATGGAGGAAGTGAGGGAGGATGGAAGGAAGGAGGGAGGTTGCAAACAGAAAAGAAAGAGAGAGGGAGAGGGACAGAAGAAAAAACTAAGGGAAGGAAAAGAAGCAACAAAGACAAAAAGACAAACTGAAATCAAGAAGAGAATAGATGTAGAGGAACTGGAAACACCATGTATGGCCAGTATTATCAAAATAGAAGGAAATAAAACACACATAGATAGCCACTCTAGAACCGTGGAGACATAAGAGAGCTACATTAGTTGTCTGTTGCTGTGTAACAGATGTCTCCCAAGTTTAGTGACTTAAAACAACTTAAATGTAAAACAACTTGAAACTGGAGCCACTGCAGGTGGGAGAAGTTAAATAAACAAAAGGAGTTTACAATTTGGAATAAGTAAGGGGTCACCGGTATGCAGATGGAAATGATTTTGTTGGTCCAAGTCCTCCAAGAAGCAGATGCCACCATGGGATGAAAGTTGCAGCATTTTATTAGGGGAGGCACCTGTTAGACAATGTGGGAAGGGAGCCAGCAAACCCTGGGAAAGGCAACAGACTGAGATGCAAGTGTGACCCCAAGTGATGGGCAGAAGGAGAAAAGGTGTTTTGGATGCATTCTAGAACACAGGCAATCTAAGGAGAGTTGAGCAAGGCCATGGAAGAGTCCTGCAGCCACCGTTGGCCATCAAAGGAGTCCTCTGTGTCCCAGGAATGGTCCTGCTTTCGTGTCCCTGGTGTGACCCATCACTGGTTGGGAACAACCCGCAGGAAGCAGGGCCTCTGCATCACTGCTGCTGAGGATGTCAGAGCACAGGAATGAGGCCTTGGGAAATGCAGCTCAAAACTTCCTTCCTGAGGGGTTTGGGCTTTTGGAAGTTAAACCCTCTCAGTCTGGGTTGGTGGGTCATTCTCTTCACACTTACAAAGTGACAAGCGGAACCAGGAGGCCCCAAGGGGATCCCTGGTTTCCACACGAACTCCTCTGAGAAGGGGACTCCTCTTCTCACCTGCTGGTCTCTGGGCACACACTGTCCAAAATTCCCCTGTGGCAGCTGTAATGTGTAGTTCAGTGGGCACTCATTTGTCCCCTTTTAAGAGTACTTTCCTTTAGAATCCAGGACCTTCTTCCCTGCAGAGCATGGTTTTGGGAGAGGAGAAGTGCAAAATCCCACAGTAGGTGAGTTGAAGGAATGGGATATGGAGCCACATCCACGTCTACCCCTTGGTATCTGGACCCACGTGTTCTTCCTACTGAGATCACAGAACCGTAGAGATGTCTTTGATTTTTAAAATGCACCATGTCCTGAAAGATGGCACCCTCCCACCTGCAGAGAGCTTCCTGCAAGCTGGCGCTGAGCTGTGCCTATAGAAGCTCTTTTCAGCATTCTTTATGGCCAGCAGCCCTTGGTTGGTGCAGATGGTGATAGGACCAGTGGGTCCCACAGCTATGGCCACACTGCACCTCCTTCCCTGTCAAGTGGGTCCCCATGAAGATACTGCATGGACAGCAATGCCAAGCCTGTGGATCAGGAATATCCACAGCCCCCAGAGAGCGGTGCTGGCTGAAGGTTTGAGAGCAGGATAGGAAAACCCACCTATAGAATAGGTGCCTATCCCTGTGAAGATGAACCTCTGGCCCTTCCAGGATGGAAGGAGTGCAATGTAGTCGACTCCTCACTTAGGGTCTGGTTGGTCACCTGAAAATATAGAGCCCTGCCAGGTAACATCATTGGCCTCAAATGCTGATGAGTAGGACATTTAGAGGTAGCAGCATCTGGATCTGCCTTGGTAGGAGGGAGTCAGTACTGTTGGACCCATAGGTAGCCTCAGCCCTGCCACTGTGTTTGCTCCATTTATGTACCCATCCTACCCGGCCTGGCTGACCCATGGGGAAGGCTGGCTAATTTCAATGCTTCTGCTTGGTGGTTCAAGGCCATTTCAGGTTTGGGTGTTTTCTGTGGATGTTAACATGGGATTCAGGCTCAACTCACATGAAACATTTCCATCTCATGATGGATGCTCTCGGGCATGTCCAATGTATGACTTCATGAGTTACACAGATGCTGATTTGTAGGGGCACTTGGAATCACATGATCGTTTGTGTCCTATGGTCAAGCATTCTATCTCATCAGGGTCCATAACATGCCAAAAGTTGCTTCTAACATATTGCTCTGCTTTGGATGGGGTATATGTCTCTGCTGTGAATGGCGTGGCCTTACTCCAGAATCCCAGGCCCTCCGTTGTGACTCTCCTGCTGGTGCTTGGTTTGGTTCCATCCCAAATCTTACCCCACCACTGGCCCTTTCAGCACCAGTGGGTCTGAGGGATGATGGCTGCAGCATGGCCTGGATCTACTGCAGTGTCCTTTCCTGTGGAGGCTCCACTCAAAGCTGGCATCCTTCTATGTCACTTAGAGTGTGGGCCAAAGCAATATATCTACATGTGGAATTTGATGTCAGAACTCAAACAGGCTCACCAGGCAGTGTGCTTGCTTCCTTGCATGAGGATGCGAGATGCAGCAGTTTGTCATTTACTTTGGAGGGGACACACCTGGATGCCCCTAAACACTGGAGCCGTAAAACTTCACTGCAGTGGCCATTTCTGAATCTCTGTTAGGTTATCTTCACCCTCTGGAGAGAAGATGTTTTACCAAAGCCTCCAGTGTACTTTTTTCCTCTTGCTCATCCATCCCAGTCAACATGATGTTGTCAATGAAATAAAGAAATTTAACATTCTATAGGATGTCCAGGTTCTCCAGATCTCTTAAGACCGTACTATAGAGGACTGGGGAATTACAGAGGCAAACTATAAATAAATGTGTTGTGGATCCCACATAAATCACTTATATCCACTTTTTTTTTTTTTTTTTTTTTTTTTTTTTTTTTTTGACAGAGTCTTGCTCTGTCACCCAGGCTGGATTACAGGCTCACGCCACCATGCCTGGCTAATATTTTGTTGCTGGGTTTTTTTTGTTTTTTTTTTTGTTTTTTGACAGAGTTTCGCTCTTTTTGCCCAGGCTGGAGTGCGATGGCACAATCTCGGCTCACCGCAAACTCCACCTCCCAGGTTCAGGTGGTTCTCCTGCCTCAGCCTCCCAAGTAGCTGGGATTACAGGCATGCGCCACCACGCCCGGCTAATTTTGTATTTTTAATAGAGAGGGATTTTCTCCATGTTGGTCAGACTGGTCTCAAACTCCCAGCCTCAGGTGATCCGCCCTCCTCTGCCTCCCGAAGTGCTGGGATTACAGACATGAGCACCACGCCCGGCCTATATCCACTTCTAATTGGAATGGAAAGGAATGCACTCACCAAATCCCCAGCTGCACACTGTGTGCCTGAAG